TAAAGATTCAAATTTCGCAAAATACACACTTCTCAAAATTGGAAGACTGACCAAATCTCGTAAGGATTTGATAAGATAGATGGTTTTGTTTAATTTTTGAACTAAATGGTGAATGTGAGAGGACCAACTTAAATTCTCTGTAATATATATACCTAAAAATTTTAAATTAGCTGTGTATGTTATTTTCTTATTATTCAAATAAAGTTCCGGTTTATCAATTTGACGGGGACCACGTCCCTGAAAAAAGAGTGCTTTTGTCTTTTCAATATTAATAATAAGATGATTTACCGCGAACCAATTTTCTAATTGATGCATAGAAACTATAGTTTTATCATTTAAAGATTTAAGATTTTTGTCAATAATTAGTATATTGGTGTCATCTGCAAATAAAACAACTTTCGCTTTCGCTTATTTCCACATCTTAGGTTTTTTGCCTGTACAGATATATGGAAAATAAAGGAAATGATGATGATGAACAGCTTCAGGCAAATCGTTTATAAACATTAAAAACAAAAGAGGTCCCAGAACTGAACCCTGAGGAACACCGTACTTTATTTCCTTACACGAAGAGGAGAATGATTTTTGATTTAGAGACTTGGCATCAACATGGTCAATTTCTACAAACTGGGATCTACCCATAAGATATGATCTCATTAAAGAGAGTTGCTCAGTTGTGTAAACAGAATGGCTAGACTGAAGGGGCATATAAAGAAATGCATGGCTGAAGAGAACAAAACAACTTGACAGACATGCAAAGAGGGTTGATACATGGGACCTTCACCCCTTCAGTATAGTACCTCTCTAATAATCACAAATTTTACTGAAATCTACAAACTTTCAATTATTTTCTGAAGTGAACAAGCTGTGGGGGCATAAAATGCATAATAGAATTTAAAAATACATGGCAATTTAATTTAATTTCAAACACAGGAACTTCCCAAGAATATGCCACAGTTTAAACTGTATATATTTTCTGAAATACACGGCATACATCACTGTGTTTGGTGTCACTTGACACAGCAGTCTTATAATAGTGAAATTACTACCTATCAACCATCTTTATTGTTTTCATCCTGTTGTGTGTCATGATGAAGTATTTTTGGCCATCAACATAACAAATTATCAAACAATAAACCAATTTAATATCACTGTGTTACACTGGTTTTATTTAGTGACTCCTACATGTTTTGATCCATATTTGGATCTTAAATATATCACTCATTATTGAATTATCCTAATATGGATCTAGGCAGTATTCTTAAATACGTCACTCATTATTGAATTTGGATAATTCAGTAATGAGTGATGTATTTAATAATACTGCCTGATGATGATCCAAATATGGATAAAAAATGTAGCAATCATTAAATAAAACCAGTGTAAGACAGTGATATTAGATTGATTTCATTCCTGATAGTTTGTTGTGCTGATGGCCAAAAAGACAACACCTATTAACCGGACTGCCTAATGTCATCCCACATGAATGTAATCTTAATTGTACCACAAGTGTTTGTACACTGCTTGTAAATATATCAATAACCTCCTATAATTCCAGATTTAATAAGTGATGTTCATACAAGTGAAAAGTACATCCCTTTATTCACCATGCTATTTTCCACTTCTGGAAATAATGTTTATATTAAGTGCTTCAACTCTTTCAAACATATAATCAATTGATGTCAATTCTGCTGTTGTGTATTTTCACACTGTGAAAGTGGGCTATGTTGCTGACATTTTGGATGAACACGCTGCCTTTATCTTCAGGGCTGAAGGCAGTACAGCATGTGAATGTTTATTTTATACAGCTTGGTGGTGGATTTGTAATCTCAAATATGAAGTATGCCTCATGCTTAGTATTACTGGGCTTCTGAACTCTGCCCATTGTATAGTACTTCAAGAATAATCTATAACTAGTCATGGTTAAACTGTTATCTCCATGATTAACTTTACAAAATTCATAAAAATTCAAACCATTTAGCCAGAGAGCAATTGCCATATAACGTAACTTTATTCATAAATGTAAATGTCATGAATAAGCTACAGATGATCTTCCCATCTATCTCTCAGCAGTATACAATGTTATGCACTTCCAAAGCTTGCATTTAAATTACAAGCCAAAGGACATAGAAATACAGGCAGATCATTCAAAAGATAGTCATGAAGTTGGCTCGGGCACAAGACACGAAGAAAAAGGACGATGCAGATGATTTATATTTGAGGCCAGAGTTACAGAATCTCTGTTAAGGTTTTACAGAAATAAAAACGTTCCGGATTTAAGTAACCCTGACTTTACAAGTATGTATGACAATGAATTTAGGATAAACATCACAAAAACGACAATCTGGTTTTATTGAAATGATGACACTCCATCGGGCATATACACAGGAAAACACAAGCATTCCACTTGTTCACTTGACTCCACGCAAAAATATCGGGGAAAGGTTAGGTACGGGAACTGACTATTTACTCTTCTTCCATTTTATAATTTTATGAGAAGACTAGCATTCACTTATACATACTGACGTACATGGTGTACAATACTCCAAATACATAAACGTCACTACCGGTCACTACGTCTCTACAGCAGCGTATTTTGAAATATTTGTCACCAGATGTACTTCTACTAATTACTTCTAATTCCTGAATAGTAATTTCCCTACTAACTCCTCCCTGGTATTGTTGTACAACTCAATCCCCCCCCCCTTCAACCATCGAAGCCATCAAAGCCCTGACAACTTTATTTCACTAGATTCTTCCTATTTAATGATCGCACTACTGTGCACACTACATGGGTTACATGCGTACAATTCAGTTAGTTTGACAATTCCAGTGCTAACTTCAGTCTTAAAGCCAGTATCTGCCATATATCGCCAGCAGTGTCGAAGAAACTTTAAAAGACAGCGTGATTAAAACATTCGGGCAATACAGAAGACACAAAACTTCACGCGTCCTGATCTGTCCGATTTTCTGCATCTTGAATATCTTGAACGGCCCACAATGCCCTCAACCAAGGCGCTCAAGGCCATCTTGTACGATCTTGTATGTATTTCGTCACCCGCAAAACATGATGGCGAAAGAGGTTCAATGAGTGAATGAGTGTGGTAGGAATAAAATCGTGTGACATTTTATATTTATAAGTTAGTTTGGCATTATATATGTGCTGAAATATGATTGAAATGAGGAGCTTTAGAGTATGTGGTGTTTTTTTGCATTTATATATCTGTATGTGAAACTGTGAAGTATAAAATGATGACAGCTTTGTAAAACAAACATTGTTCACAAGTCAAGGTTCAGTCAATGGTAGTGGTAAAATAGTCATCTGTACTAGCACAGATTGCCGCGCTTGTATGTTTGTTAACATTAAAGCGATGTTATTAGTTTCACTGCCGCAGTTTTGTTTGCCTTCTGCCTGTACTGTGTTTATGCATATCCATTACCAGATGTTTGATTGTTGTTGGCTTTGTGTATTTAACTTGTGTGCCAGCCCAGGCAAGAGGGGTATCAGTGAAAAATTATTGCTGATACTTTCTGCTAGAACTTCTTATGTTACATTTGTAATCTAATTTACTGTCCAAGTTACAAAATGAAACTTTGAACTTGCTATAGGAAGGATCATATGTTTTGAACACAATGACTTCATTTTTCTTTTAGGAAAGTTGAAATTCCAAGTGATCTAACTAAGTTTGCAAGTTGCTGTCTAGTCACATAAAACTGAAAGTTGATGCTGTATATCTTTGGGGTTAAAGGAAATAACAATCCTTAGAGACTAATTAAAGGTATTGCCACAAAATTTAATAGGGAGATTTTGATATAACTTGAAAGATGGCTCCACAGAATAAGGAGAACAATGGTGGTGGCCAAAAAAAGGGAGGCAGAGGAAAAAGAATTGAAGAAAGAGGAAGTGAAACCAACAGAGAAGAAATTGGAGGGGAAGACTATCGCCGGCGCCGTGATCGCAACAATCAGGTATATACACAAAGTCTGCATTTAGAAACTATCCAGGTTCTCATGATCATTTATAAACAAGACGTTACCCACATGGGCCTTCAGGTGTCCAGAGATCCATTTAGCAATCTAGTCAAACAGTATAATATGGTTATGGAAAGAAAGTTGATGATTTCGATATTATCCAGTTTAAAACTGTTTAAATGTTTATATGTGTGTTTATTTTCATGTGTCTGTTTCTTCAGCTGGTACTTGAAACAAAAAGTTTAACCACAGTTTAAACCGGGTCTAGAGTCCACCCAACCTTCTAGCCAATGCCTACCGTGGGCTCTTTCCCCAGAGGTAAAATGGCAGGGGCTTGAACCCGACCACTCACCTCCAACTAGTGCTGAAGTCAAGAAAATGTGGATCTATACATCCATGCCCCCATATGCCTTCATGGCGTAGTGGTTAATTAGTTTAAACTCATTCCCTACATTAATTTTATTTGGTGACAGTACTAGTTTAACACATTTGACATTTTGAAGAACTCCAGTTGGGTACATTTGTGTGACCTTAAAATCATATAACAAGCTATGCTCAGTGTGTGCAGAATAGGGACTTGTATGTAGTTCAGTCATTCATACATGCCTCCATGCCTTCATTGCTGTAATCTAACTCGTAGACTTTCTGAAACCATTTTGTTACATATTATGGGTATTTAATTCTGGTTAGCTGAGGGGTATTGAAATCAGAGTTGACTGGGTTTATAATTGTTGAACTGGACATAAGTAGTCCTATAGAATTATGAAACCATATCTTTAAACTTCTGAAGAAATGGGTTACAGTCGGTGAAGATAACTTTGAATGATGGTTAACTGAAAAAAAAAACTATAATAACAAGCCAGTAATTGATATGTAAACAAGTCGCAGTGATCAGTATATATAGGGTTCATGTGAAACAGTGAAGCATTTTAAAGATTGACTTACATATTTCTCTGCTAGGGTATTGTAAGTTATCCTCTATAGCAGTTACTTCATAGTGCAATTCACCATAGAGCATCAAACACTGAGGGAGCATGTTTGGGTGCTGTAGAACTTTTCCATCCACTGGCAACATACAGAATCACAACCCACTGCCAAGAGTTTAACTAACAGGAAGGCTTGTCTCCAAATGCAGTTCATCTGCCGGTCAGAAAGTTGTGTGAAGAAGTTTTTATCATTTGTGAAGAGCCATCAGTCCAACCTTGTTTGGTTCACATGCCTCAGAATATTATGTGAATGCTGGCATCTGTTCACTGCATTCCAGTTCAGCACATAACATGTCCAAGCTCCATGTATGTCTGACAGTAGTATACAAAAAAACAAAAACTCCATGGCCTTTAGTCCCCAAGTGAACTATACTGACCAAGCGACAGCCACTTGTCGGCGATGTTAGTGCCAACTTTTGCAGATGGAGGGTGTCTTGTCAGCGCAGCAGATCCCCATGGCCGTTAATCTCGGTTTTCCAGGCCGGAGCTGTTACTTTTCCTTTCAAGTAGATCCTCAATTGTCTTCATGAGGCTGAGTGGACCCCGTTCCAGACCCACTACTTCCCAGAAAATCTGGTAGCACCAGGAATCGAATCTGGGACCTCTGGATCTGTAGCCAGGAACTCTGACCACTTGACCACAGAGGCGAGCAGTAGTGTATGGTATGAAAAATCTGTGATTTGAAAAATGTGGTGTTATAGCCCATATGACAAGAATTGGCATCCCTGCAGTTGGCATTTCCTTTTGTACTGGATGACTATTTTCATCTTTGTTACGTGCTCTGGCCTTCACATTCACCATTCCAAACTGCTACTGACTTTTTTCTCGGGGAATGCATGGAAGATAAAGTGAATGGTAGTTTGCCAGCAGAGGAACTGATAGTGAGAATCTGTAGAAGAATCTCAGACATTTCAGAAGAAGCATTTTGGGGTGACACAGAGCTTCTCAGCTCATGTGCATCAGTGAATTTGACAGTGGTGGTCATATAAGGGATGTACTGTACAAAAAGTAAGGTATTGTTAAACGATGGTAAGGACTCTAGAAATAGAATATGTGTGCAAAATAAAATACTTTGCTTTTTCAAAAGTGTTATTCCACTTTAAAAACACTTAACTGTTCAGCTACACCCTGTACAAGAAATTAAATTAGCAGAGTTCCTTGGTCTAAATTGATATTACAAAAATTGGAAAAATAATTTCTGAACTGGAAGAAAACAGTCTTCTGGGATGTGACATCATGTAGATGTGGTGTTAACCATGTTTCGGAGGAACATATCGCCTCCATCTTCAGACAGTCTGGAGTCTGCTTGTACCGGTTCTCACGGTCTCTTCGCTTATGGATTTCTTATTTTTCCTTCTACCCTGAAGATGGAGGCAATACATTCCTCCAAAACGTCGGTTAACACCACATCTACATGATGCCACATCCCAGAAGACTGCTTTCTTCATAGTCACAGCTGTGAAAACCTCAAATCTTACATGTCTGAACTCATTTTTCCAAAATTATGCCAGATGTGTTTCACAGTAAGGTTCCTCATATTTTTGCATAGTCATGAACTGAGACAAGCAGTACTTTTCATGCTACTGTTCAGTCACAACCTTTGGCATAAGGAGATTTAGATGACTGGAGATAGACCAAGCATTTAATTTTGATTTAATCTGTATTTCTGTGTTAACTCTCACTGACTTTGTTCTGAACACAGTGGTCACAATTACTTTTCTTTTTGTCAAACTTTGTTACCAAGTTCCATTTTGCACGGATAAGCGAAGGTCCATCTCCTCCACTTAAGATCTCCTTGTCCTGGACCTACTAATGCATTACACAGGCCTCATTCTGGAAAAAGTGTGGTGCAGTTCATCCTTGCATTTCACCAAAGTGACCTTACTGGCTGTAGGTCAGATGTGGTAACATGGATTGTTTGTGTTTGAGGTGGTTCTGATTTATTATGTGATGAGTAAATGTAGTTAAAGAATGTGTGTGTCATGCAAAAACTGAGGGAGACACTGTTTGGTAGTATAGTATTTTTTTTAAGCAGCTTATTCTAAAGAGAAGAGTAGACCTATTCCCTCTCTTCCTAATCTTACTGCTAGTTACAGCAAGACACAATGGTTGCAAGAGCACAACTGAAAAAACTTTTTGTTGGCCATGCCTACCATTTAGCTGAGGGAAATTGTAGGGATTGATATTGGGTATATTAACCACAATAATTTCTTCACAGCTATAAGGAAACATGAAGGGATGGATAACAGTACATCAGAATAATTAAAACAATCCATCACAGCATTTTTTTTAAAAAACATTGTAATTGAAAGTATGGAACCCTAAATGTTTCTGTATTGTTTACTTGCCATCTTCAAGATTTTTACAACTTAGTAATTAAGTAATTAAAAGTTAAGCATCAAATTATTATAATACAGGTACTCCACATTATATGTGAGTTTGAAATATGGGATTTCATTTTAATGTGCTGAACCAATTTAGGTTAATTTCAATGAATGAATTGCTTGCTGGCCAATTGAGAGAGATGGGGAGATGGGGGAGTAGATTGTTGCATAAGTATTCAGAGGAGTAATATGAGGGGAGAAGGGAAAATTATGTTTGATTTATGCAGTTCCACCCTCTCTGACTTTTTCTTTTGGAACACATCTGCCACACGAATCAAGGAATACCTGCTCAGTTAATGCATTCTCACACTTTCTGTATCTGTCTTCACACCTTTTCTCAACAGCTATGTTGCAAAGGAAGTGGAACCCCTGATGGTGGCAAGTAAAGAGTGCAAAAGCACATAGGCTGCCATAGATTTTAATTGAAACTTAAGAAATGCTGTAGCGAATATTAAATTTTGATGTATGATTAATGCATGCAGCGTGATGAGGTCAAATTTTAAGATAACAAAAAACAATGTCAGTAGCTTCTTTGAACTGCAGAGTTTTAGAGATATTAATTTTGATGTACATTTAGATCAGCACTGTACCGTTAAAGGATTTCTAGCTCTAGTGAAATGGTGAAAATGAATTGGGTAATACCGGGCTGGTTGGTAAATTCCATCTGCTTTCTTCCAATATAAGAATAATATTTTTGTGGGAATAATGAATCTGTGAGATTCTGAATAATGTTAAGTATGTAAGCTCTACTAGATCGGTGATTTCAAAACTTTTCTTAATTTGAGACTTCCTTCATGAGAGTAAAAATATTTGCAGGCCAAGTCTATAAAAATTACATAATATGATTAAAAGAATAATATTTACTAATGAACCTTAATGATATCTGTGAAGTAGTTTTTGTATTATCAAAATGGGTCCTTCAAAAGAGTTATATCCTAAGTGCCAGAGCCAGAACCTGTTTCACTGAGGCTCTTCTAATATCTATTGACTCCACCCATTCAGAGCCAAAGATCTTCATTCTATGCCCAGCTAGAGCTGAGTGCTGACAAAGTATGTCATAGGAGGAGTCCTGCTCCTGTCCACATTTGCTACACGGAGCATTATGTGAGAGGTCCGCAGCATATAGATGCATCTCAGTGTGCCAGTGGCTAGTTAACACACCTTTTACCAGTCTGCACTATTTCATGTCCAGGTCAGTAGGTCTCCAGACAGTTTCATCAAAGGTTCCTGAATGAAGATCTTGAGTGGCTCATACTTGGTGTTGCATCCTGGTATTCAGAGAGCTTGTCAAGTCAGCCACTTCTTCCCTGCACCATCTTTGTACCACATTCAGATCTTTTGCGTACCCGGAAGAGTCCATCAGCCAACAGGCTCCACAGAATGGGGCGAAAGGTCTTATCCCTTCAGACACCATAATCATACAGCCCATTTGGGATGTCACAGTATGGTGACTAATAACCATGACATTCATCCATTTTTCTGCATTATGTTCTACCCTATGCTTTTGAGCTGCCCTGCACGTGGACTCAGGTGGTGTTGGCAGATGCACCCTCAGTTTCCAGAAAAGCTCCAAGAGCGTCAAACCCATCCTCAAGCTCCCTCTCTGTCTTACAAGACTCTGAAGAGCAGTCACCTTGAACCTGCCTTTCTGGTATTCATGCTGATGGAGGATGGGGGTGCAGTGGCTATCCCATAAAGGCTTCACCTCACACATATCTTTCCATCAACCACACTTGTGTTTTCAAAAGAAAAGAGTTTAGGCATGAAGGTAGCCCAGACCACTCTCCGTTATAATGGTATCTACCCAAAAACAATATGGGCTGTAAGTATTTTCATTGTTTGGCTGGTGATGACCTCCAGGTATCTTGAAAGAGAGCTAGGAAAATTCTATCCTTCCCAGCAATTTATAAGCATTAAAGCTGAGAGCTCCTCACCTGATCCCATCTTGCCCAGCCAATTCCCAGTCTATGTTCCTCCCTACAAGACCAGGAGTCCCCAGAGCAGTGTCCCCATTACGTATCTCCACAAAGCCAGGAAAATGTGCATCCAGCATTAGCTTTAATGCCTCTTCTTCTGCAAATGTGTATTCCCCAGATGGAAGCAAAAGAGGTCCAAACATATCATGGGATCTTTGAACTTGGTGATGACTTTATGAAGTCTCTATGCACTCAGAATGTCACCAACTCCCTGACAGATCAACTCTTTTGCTTATAATGTGAACTTTTGTACCTCCTTTAACTGTTCTTGAAGGATTCCCAGTCATTGGGCATTGCAGTTCTGGATTTAATCAGTAGTTTTCTGGTTTCCCAGCAGAGTCAAAAGTTAAAATTTCGTGAATCGAAGTGACATGAATTGAACTTCGATTCACGAAATTTTAACTTTTGACAATTAAATTAGAATAATATATTTTAACTTGTGTTTTATAAAAGAACTTGATATATTACTGAGCGTAAGTCTGAGTAAGATACAGGGTCGAATGAGTAAAAAGTGAATGTGACCGCGTGTAATTATACAGCTGTGTTCGTACACCTGAGGATGACCTCTTGAGGTCGAAACATGTAGTGATAATAAAAAACGTGTTGTGTAGTCGGTAAATTGACTCTACTATTGAGTAAAACGAATAATTGATAATACTTCTTTTAGGTTTCCTAGGAAAAGTTTCCTGTCTTGTACCAAATCTCGTACATAGAGAGGCAAACTGTTGAAAATTTTAACACACACATAATAAACTCTTTTTTGCCTTACTGCTAAATGTGACTTAATACATGTACTGAATGTGTAATTTTTCAGAGTGGTGATGGTAACTGATATTGATCTGTAGGGAAGACCTTTGGAGAGAACTTGTTTATTTTGCTCATGCAGTATGTGCTTTCTTTCATTCTTCATCAGATATTACCACATATCTTATTTAACTGCTTTTTTTGCGGTATGGAGGAATTATTTGGCAGAGCTAAAAATATTTAAGTGGATAATATTAAAATGGATGTTGAGGAATGGGGAATGAATATGTGGACTGCATTCATGTAGCTTAGGATAGGGCCCAGTTGCACACTCTTGTGGTGAACATGGTAATGAACCTCTGGATTCCACAAAATACAGAGAATTCACATTCAGATATCATATTACTGTTTGAGTTAAACCATAGAAGAACAGTGGTCACTACATGTGTGCCACCTGCCACAACACTGAAAAACTTGGAATTTTACCCAGACAGTGTACTTATGTGATTTGTATGATTCTCAGAATAAACAGGAATTATTTCCCTAAACAGCATTAACTGTTTTTTTTGTAATGGAGATGTGTTTTCTGTGAGGTAAGAATTGCATTTGAACTGAATAAGTATTTACATGAACTTGGGGCTTCAAAAGTTTTAAGTGTTCATGTATGATGTGAAGGAAAGTACAGTACCAGATGAAGTAGCCCTGTGCTGTATCTAAAACCTCTGTGAGAGTGCATCATAATCATTGACACATCATTTCATCATGATCAGAAACTTACTAAATTTTATTTTCATTATGTGATGGAAACAGAAATCACCATAACAGTGATCTCACTGAATGCAGACAACTTTTATCCCCCCAGGGGCGTTGTATATATAATAACTCTTTTTGTTTTAAAGGATTAATGCCAGGAGCAGGGAAAATGTTGCAATACCAAGGTTTGATTCCCAGACTGGGTAGGAGTTTTCATTTTTGTAACAGAAGAGCCCTAGGGCCCATCAAGTTTCCTAACTAGTGTGCATTAAGGGTTGTTTTCACATGAATAAAGTGGCTGGAGCTTGAAACTGATCACTTCGTGTCCATGTAATGCACAGGTCTGGAATATATGGAGCTTCACCTATGTGCCTACCTGTATGCCTCCATGACATGGTGTGTAGGCATAGGGACAGTTTAATATAGGCTTATATTCTGTGCATTTACCTTAATGTCTACCTCATCTTGTAATGTACTGGTGACAAGGTCATGGTACCGGTATGGAGGAATGTCAGTACCAAAGTACAGTTATGTTTCACACTTACTCTTCTCATGTATAGGACAGCCAATATGACAATAAGAATAAATTAATCTTGTGTGATAAGCATAGGCCTACTTGAGGCATAGATGTTTGTCTGCATTTATTCTGTGTTTGTGTTGCCCTGTGAAGGTAGTTGCCTTGCGATGGGCTGATCACTTGTCCAAGGAGTTGTACCGACTGTCTGTAAGATTAAGAAACTGAAGTGAAACAAAAACGTTTCACAGATGTCCTATGCTCCAAAGGGAGCAACAGGAAAGTGAATGAATGAATGAATGAATGAATGATGAGCAGATATTTAAACCATTGTATGACCCCAGAAAATACCAATCCATTATCTTTTGATGAGAATATTCCTCATTACCAGATATTCATAATGTTTTACCTGCATAACAATGGCATAGATATATGTGTATGTTTCTGGGGGTGGGGTTTCAGTGTGCAGATGTTTGCATGTGTATGTGTTAACTGCAGTATTTTAATTTTTCACTTTACAGAAGGAGGGAATGGGTTGAAACCACTCAACTGTCTTGCCACCAAAGTTTTAATGTTATTGCTTGGTTTGTATATCTAAGGTAGACCTGTTTAGGGTGCTCTAATAAAAATTGAATGAGTTAGCATAACAGTAATGCTCTAGACTCATATTTGGGAGGTACTTGTTTCGAATCTCAACCAGGACACCAGATATCTTGACTGAGGTTTTTCTTTGTGGTTTTCCTCACCCCCTCCACCAAGCAAATGGCAGGAGAGTGCCTGATCACTTCCTCCCAAGTCATATGCAGTTCTTCATAATCCAGTTGCTGAAAGCATGATAAAGTAACACACGGTAATAAATTATAATTCAGCATATTGGTGTGAAATGTTAAGGTTACTATATGTGGTTGTGTTGTCCCCCATTGCTACTAATATTGTACAGTTTTATGTGCTTTTACATCCATTTTCACCGGTGTCTGGCTTCAGATGGACATCAAACTGAAATAAATGGTGATAATTTCAACATTATACTAACTTGGTGATAATGGTATGTCAGGCAGTGAAGCGTAGTCGTGTGAAGAGCAAGCTCCGCACCCAGCAGACATTGGAGAGGGTAAATCAACTTAAAACAGAAAATGAGATGCTGAAGCAGAAGATTTGTATGCTGACAAAGGAACTTGGGTTCCTGAAGGATCTCTTTTTAGCTCATGCTGGTAGGTGGATCTATGATGAGCAACAGAATAAATTTTTATTCATATATACATGCTCTTGTTTGTGTGCTGTCTCCAAATATGTTCACAATTGAACTTTCTGAACTCTGCCCACCCAGTTAAGGGTGGATAATGTATTTCTGCATTGGCAACATTCATAGGGCAGATTCTGTTACTCCCATTCATGGTGGTCATTAGAATGATAGTAGAACTCCAAACCATGATGGAAAGTGGAGTGCCATTTTTCACATTCCCAATGTTCTGTCTCTAGCAGAGGTGAAGGTAAAAATGGATCCAAGAGAAATAGGATGGGGTGGTATTGACTGGATTCATCTGTCTCGGAATAGGGACCAATGGAGTGCTCTTGTGAACACAGTAATGAACCTACACTACTATGTATCTCATCTAAATGTTACAACCATGAGCATATTTATTGGCATCAGTGTCTACAATTGGCAGATATCTACAGCTTTAGTTATTTGCCATAAATAACTGTCGACAACATCAAGAATGTCTTGCCCTTTCATTGTTTCTGGGAGAAAACTGTGATTTTAGTCCGCAAGCAAGCTATACCGACTGAGCAACTCCCACTTGTCAATGAAGTTTAGTACCAACTTTTGCAGATAGAGGGTGTTGCATGATCAGCACAGCGAATCCCCACAGCCATTAATTTCGGTTTTCTAGACCAGAGCCGCTATTTACTTGAAATAGCTCCTCAGTTATCATCATGAGGCTGAGTGGACCCCATTCCAGACCCACTACTACTCAGAAAAAATCTGGTAGCGCCAGGAGTCGAACCTGGATCTATGGATCTGTAGGCAGGAATGCTGACCACTAGACCACAGAGGCATTGTTTCTGGGAGTGGTTTGAAAAATAAAAATTGTTCTCTTATGTCTCCATTTCAAACAATCCTGCTGAACGCTATCAGTTGAGCTTTTCCATGATGTCAGTTGACTCATCCAACTGGATAGCAAAAAAATCGGCTTCTCTAATGTTAACTGTCACTTGTGACTCAACGTCTTGAAGCATGTCTTGTACGTATACACTGACTAATAGTGTTATTCGACATAGGGATTTTCAAAATCTCTTTTCCATATTCCTTGCCAAACATAATATTTACAATTTTACAGCATGCTGGTAAAATTACTGACTCAGCAGTGGTATAGCTTGCATCTTGAGCTTCGTCAGAAATAGTTGTGATTTTGGTCCAATGTTTAGCCTGGCATGTTTGATCAGCTATAAGCCTTATAAAATATTGCTGCATGTATGAGTGACTCTCAGTGTGGTTTATGATTTGATATTGGATTTATTGATTACTTACGGATTGTAACTATAACAGTCTCATGGAATTACAAACTGTAACTACAGCACACACAAAGTCTTCTCAGTCTTCAGTAGTCGTTTCCAGGCAACTGATTTTAGCACAGTAACTACAGCAGTCTCATGGAATTATGCACTGTAACTACAGCACACACAAACTCTTCTCTTCACAGCCTGACTTTCAACTGACTAGCTCTCAGTCTGGCAGCCATTTCACACCAATCTCCTAGTCTTCTCTTCACAGCCCAACTTTCAACTGAGCACTGAACTCACTGCTCCAAACCATCCCGCTTATAACATCTTGGCCCAGATTACACAGAAAACACTGCTCTTTTGTTGTTGTTCATTTGTTGCTTATTAAGAGTCTGCTGCCTAGAGGTGGATGGACATCGTTTCGTTGTTTGTTTTGTGACTGTTGCCTAGAAACAAATGTTGTTTCAGAGCTGTTCACTAGTGACAGCTGTTCCTCTGGCTCCACAGTTCTTGCTTTGAGCAAATATCCCACGATTCAATTGGTTTCTTGCATAAATGTGAGTGCTTTGTGTGAAGGTGTCTTTTCAGCTTACTTGGAACCATAGCTTGGTTTGCCAGTTTCTCACCACACACCTCACTTAGGACATGGCTGCTCTCCTCCAGGTGAAATGAATCCAAAGGACAAATAGTCCTCATTATATTGACGCACAGCGGTTCTATAACTAACACTAACTATATAGTATGCGTGATACTACCAGAACTAGTGCCAACCATGCTTGATTCATTGTCATCATGTAACTTACATTTTGTAATTATGAATATGTCCATGCCCAATAAGCCCTAAAATAAGAATAGGAATCAACTAAATTCAGAAATAATAAAATGACAAAAATGAAATAGAAATAACAAAAAGTGCATTAGTGCAAACTCGTGTGGAATAACACACCCCATCTGAACAACAGCTGACTGAGGACTGACACTGGTGGCTTGAAAAGGGTGAAAGGTGGGGTAGTAAATGTTCATTGGAGAGTTATTTTGAGATTGGGAACATTAGGGATGGAAGTTCTTGGAATTTTATTATACTAACTTTTTATTAAAGTGCTACTGTTTTTGGCCTTTTATGAAAAATATACAGTGCTTCTAAAATTTACCTTGATGATTCTTTAATTCCTCAATTTTTTCACACTTCTTTTCGACCTTCCCACAAACTCCTGTGGCGCACCTACAGACCCTTCATAGCATTGCCAGTGTGCCACAGCAGGAGAGTCTAGTTGAATTTGTGAATATGTGACAGGGTTATGCTTCTGAAACATTCACCTATCAGTCTGTTGTGTTCTTTAGGGAGATTCCTTCCAAGAGCTGTGAAAACATGTTGTTTTGTCTTTATATTGGGTTTTCATAGCTTTTCTTATCAAACCAGCAGATCATATAAGTAGCATACCAAATTACCATACATGCTGGATAATGGAGAGTCTTTTTTTTTTTATTATTGTTAGTGGGGTGGGACTAAGCCCCTTGTACTGCGGCCACTTCTGGCCTGTTGTACCAGCCCAACATGATAAGTGAGGGTGATTGTGGAGCAATTGGTGGAATGAAGATTGGCAGCGGAAACTGAAGTACTTGGAGAAAACCTGCCCCAGCGCCACTTTGTCCACCACAAATCCCACTTGATCGAACCTGGGCCGCCCCGATGGGAAGCCAGCGACTAACCACTTGAGCTATGGCGCAGCCAATGGAGAGTTTACTGTACTTGTAAATAGGCCATGTCCCTTAATCATCCTTCTGTCTGTCATCATACAGTCTGAGCTGCTAGCAGCATCATTAAATCTACAAATCCTGTACACACGCACACAGACCTGTGTCATGTTCATGCATGCAAACAATAAACTAAATTCTATAAATAAAAAATAATTATATACATGAAATTTTTAGCTCTTTATTGTCAAGATTATTAACAACCTCCTGCAGGGTTATGCAGAGATATAAGATTATAGCAGAAAGTATAAAAACTAATGTATACTTATGGACTAGACTACATACCATGCCAGTAATTGGGGTACAGTCCGTGGCATAGGGAAAGATTTTCCTGTTTTCCACATCATCTGTACTTGCTGTGGGGCATGTCCATCCTTCTTCCACTGGTTACCAGGGCATCTTCCATGGGTTAAAGTGCCCATAGCTATGAAACTCACCGGTTGAGAATGCATGGAGCTGTCCCTCCATTCCCCCATACTTATTCATGATGTAATGTATAATTAACCACAAGAACCAATTTACCTTTTCATGACTTAGTTGAACTTCAGATTGCAAACTTCCTGTTTATTGGTGTAGTGCTAGAAATATTCATTCTGCATACATTACATGTTCTTCAGAATATCAGTTAATTCTTTAATATACATAACCAAAAAATCCATCATGATAAAACTCTGTACTAAGCTCTATACTCATATTCTGGAGGTGCTTTATTTGAATTGGCAAAGCTAGTGCTATGCCAACAGGTTTTTCATGGTTTTCCTAAGTTATCCCAGGAAAATGGTGAGCCAGGATAGCTCAGTTAGCGTAGTGATGGGCTAAGAGCTAGATTGCCAAGGTTCTATTCCCGGTAGGGGCAAGAGATCTTTCTCATGTCCACAGTGTCGAGACTGGCTCTGCTGTCTAGTGGTTATTGGGGACTCCTCCAGGGCTAAAGTAGCTGGGGCATGAAGGTGACCACTCACTTCCATCTAGTACTGAGGTCAGTAATGGTGGAACTATACCGCCACTGACCCCTGTATATTCATGGCATGGTGCTGAATTCATTAGGTACAGGGACAGCTTTACTTTTTTACTATCTAGGCAAATCCCAGGATAGTACCTGTATTAAGCCACGATCATTTCCAAATCTTTTTCAAATTCATCATTCTTCATCATCCCATGTGATACTAAATAGTGTAGTTACAGACAGCACTGCAAAATAACTGACAAAAAATAACTCCACTCATGTTACTTAATATTTGTAAACTAACCAAACATGTTGCTGCTGTAAAGTCATGCATCTTTTGAATTCTTATGATCATTATATGTTTCATTATTGTCTTGAAACATGCTAAGTGACATTTGGAAGTACTGAGTTTCCTGATCTGTCTATCATCTAATATTCTAAAAGACCATGGATAGAAACAGATTGATTTCTGTTAGGATATTAGACAATGGACAAAGTCCAGAAATTCAGTAATCCCTAGTGTAATACATCATCAGCATCATAACTCTTTGAAACAGACATATTGGGTTTGCCTAATAAATTTGAAATTATCTGAATTGCATTACGTTTTCATTATATTTGATAGTGTGTATTGAGTTTTAATACAAAATCAAGTGTGAAGGTAATTCCCTATCTTTACACTATAGAATGGACAACAGTAATGGTCGAATCTAATTGTATATGTAGTCTTAACCAATAAATGCAGAATAATGTAATCCAGCAAATTTATTTTAATGAATTTGAGGCTTTAATGGCATTTAAGACTTACATTATCTTATTCTGAGTTATGAAACTATGCAGTCTAGTAGGTAAATTTCAGAGAAGTATTCTTCTTCCCCGTCTACCCTGAAGATTGAGAAGAATTCAGTAGTAGGCATTATGATTGGCGCACTGTTCACGTTGATTTCATAGGCACTATCTTGTGCGATCAATTTTTTCCATCAGTAAATGATCATAATGCCTTACATGTTTTAGCCTTTTATAGCCACCTTGAGAAGTGTCCAGACAGCTCTAAAAAGGAAAGGAAACTTTACATTGGTTGTACATAAATTATGTAAAACTTGTTCACAGATGCATGCATGAAATAATATTGACGTGTGAAAGCTGAAATGCTAGATGACACACAGACCTCTACTGAATGACTTACTTAATCTGTTCCTCTTATACCCTACAGTGTCGAGGTTTTGCAGAGAGCCCGACATGCAGTCCTGTCTTCAGACAACTTCTAGGCTTCTTTCCACGTGATGTTCTTTTTTTAAGGAGTTCTTGTATTCTTTCCCATTTATTCCCCATACATTCTATGTACCGATTATTGTTAAAGCATGTCCTTGCCAATTTGTCGTCCTTTTGATCTGTCCGGCTTGCTCTCTTAGTGTTCTTTTTAATCCAGTAGGTCTCAAGTGTGTCGGGGATTGGCCATCAGCACTCTAGCATCATGAAGGGGCTGCCTTCTATATGCTCCATGCAGGAGGGAGCCTTGTTCTACAGCTCCTGCTCTTGTTAGTTTTACAGGGAGAGTCGAGTATTCTCTCCCAAACCCTCCTCCTTTCTCATCCAGGCTTGGGACCGGCATAGGTGGAGTTTACTGAATGACATGGTTAATGCAACAAAAGATCTCCATTTACAAGATGTGAATGACTCAATTCTTATATTATCATCATCATCATCCTATAGCACTTAGATTTTAAATGATGATATTGTTTTAAGCATAGATCTTTGACAAAGTTTTAAATAATTGATCTACAAATAAAGTAAAACTTCTGTTTACAGTTGTCTAGATGGTTCTGAAGATGACCATAAATTCCTGGTACATGTTGGGTGTTATGATCATTTATTGATTAGAGAAAAAAAGAATCATTTCACTAGATGGTGCCTTTGAATTCACTGAGGCAGTATGTTCATTTGAAACATTGGTACTCACCTACCAGACCACATGTTGTCATAACCCAGAAGACTATACACATAGTAGGTTTAAGTGGATTTCTTGTTCTAACATTAGGTTATATCCTGTTCTGGAATCGAAACAAGACATAACTTTGTTGCATTCTTTTTCAAACAAAGGATCTGCTCATGGTGTGAATTTAGAAAATGTTGACCTGGAATCTTTGCTTCAAGAAGAGCTAAAGACAGAGTCAGACCGCATTATATCACTGCAAGAAGGAGAAAGATTGCATCTGGGAAGAGAAGATGGCAAACCTGAATTCAAATAGTGTGGCTGACAAGTAAGTATTCTGATTCAGTTATCACAGAGGTGCTGTTAGTATGAGTATAGTAGCCATGTGTTTCCTGGTGTACAGATAAGTCTGCAGGTAGTTAAATTTTAAGACAGTCTTATGACAGAGTTTCTTGTGAGCAGGTCTTGAAAGGAATGCTTTGATATGGTCAACATTTTGTGGATCAAATAGGGAAATAGCCATCATGGCTTTGTTTCATCCTTGATTTTACTACTCTTCGTTCAGGCTGTTTGGGGATAGGATAGATTATAGTTTCTTTCTGTGGCAGGTTCTTGTTTATTTCACAAACCACATATCAGAAGTGTGGATAGTAAAATAATGGGTAATTCATACAGATTTGGTTCCAGAACTTTTAATTATTTCCAGTAATAATCTCATTTACATATCTGACTTTGCATTCCAGTTTTTGCTGTCTATGTGAAACGTTGGTTAGGATTCACTCATCATCTTCTCTTTATTGTGTATCACTACATTTTTTGCCCAACCGGCCATCATCAGGTTTACAGGTTGTGATGAAGGAATCTGCTGCTCACTGTAATGCTATTCTGCTCTCCTTATGTAATTATGTTGGACTAATTCTAGGTTATGTGGAATAATGGGCTGTTGCCATGCACATGTGTGCCTTATGGTTATGTTGGTTTGTTGATTTAACTTTGGTTCAGTGTGTGGCTGTCCTGAATGTTTCTGTTCAAATGAAAGCTTTTTGTTCAGAGATCATCCATCATAATTTTTGTAACTAGAAGAATAGATACACCACATTTTATTAAGATCTTTACTGGTGTATCACCCATTGAGAATTCATCTGAAAGTCTATTATTTTATATATAAGCTTCAATACTATTAACTTTTGCTGTTTTCTTCAATATTCCTTTCCAGTTTACATGTTATCAAATTATACTTCAAGGTTGACATTTAACATCACTTCCCATGAATAACACACACAATAATCTATTGTAAATCATCTCCTTTATATAATATACTACATTTCACATATGCTTGTTAACATGTTATCAGTACTCACAGAATAGACATGATACACCAAAACAAAATACTGCTTGCTCGCTCATACTGTACTGCATAACTTATATTCATGCAATGTGTTAATGCTTTAACAGTTCATTGCTGTGTTAGCCCAAAATTGTGTAATTTCTGAGCTTCTCACACTTACAGTACTTCTTTTATTTATATACAAGGATATTAGAGACGAAAAACATTTCCCTGTGTATGAGATTCAGTCGCCATTATCTTCTTGAGTACTGGAACCCATTTATACATGGCATACGCATAGTGACAGAACAGTGCAGGTAGTTTTTAGGAAGGGGGCAGAGTCACTGCAAGATATGTTATAAAATGAGGCCAAGAAATAGTTAATACCTTCAGGTACTTGGGCAGACCTCCAAACAACAGCTTTCTGGATTGATATGAATGAAACGATAAATGCCGCAGTCAAAGTTAAACATATGCCACCTCTACCTCATATCCTTAGACTGGCCTTAGTTCTCTTCCATGCGAATATCATGCACACACATATTAATGTATGACACGCAGCTGGTGTGGCATTGCGTAATAACATGATATAGGGTCATGCAAAGAGGAGGTAATGACTTCTGAAGGGAGTTTTATGTGTGTCTAAATTCACTCATCTAACGTAGTGCAGGAACTTGCCCTGGAAAGTTTCCTTATTGAACATCTAGGATAGTGTTAGCTGGTGTTACCTGCAAGAGTCACGTCAGAAAATGTCCTACACAAAATGAAGCAAAGCAACAGTGAAGTGTGGAGTTGATGCAGTGAAAAATAAGGAATGAATAGGAACAGGCTTTTGTTTAGGCACACAGTGTTGAGAATGGCCATGCATGTTTCCCACTGTAAAGTGTGTTAATTAAAAGCTTTTCTTGTGCTGGGTTTGGACTGTATATGCTCCATGGTTGGAAATTTATTTGAATGATACCATCTTTTGATCTGTAGCAAACCTGAAATATCAGTGTTTGTGCAAAGAGAATTAATTCTAATTGATATGTGTATTGTATGTTTTTCCCTATGTGGAATTTACTCCATACTTGAAGCATTTCTCTGTGGAGGAAATTCAATTTTATTTTAAAGTCCACAATGTGATATATTTACTTCTTGGGAATCCATGTTTCGTACTGTTCACCTGCATGGTTACAGATTGTCACAATTTCTTTATCAAAAGATGTGTGTGGGTCTGAATTTATATAATACCATATGTTGCAGATTAAAATGCTGAATGCTAACACTGATATGTGCAGTGTTTTGTAAAAATATGTGATAACAGATTATTCAGTGAAGTCCCAATGCCAAAGTTAGGGGATTGTTTAATTGCTGTGTGTTTTTACTAAAGAACTAAATCTGTGATGACCAGGCAGTGCAGTATGTTGTCTAGGATTGGAATTGATTTCGAAATGTTACTGGCGTATGAGTTGCAACATAAATTGTGACAGAAAGTAGAGTAGTGTTATTTTTCTTTAATTAGGCACTGCATATTATGATACTGACAAGGAAAGCAGCTTGGATGAAGAATCAGTACTTCTAGTTCTGAAATGAAATTATACAACCAGGAGTGATTACTGGACACAGTAAACTCATTGTACTCTGCTGTTGCTGTAAGAGACAAAGAGTTGTATGTGAGGGGACTTCAATAAGTAAGGACAAATTGACTAGATATTTAACCCTTTGGCGCAGTCATTTAAATTCCGCGGCCGCGTCTCCGGCGGTAATATATTCAGCCGGCCATTTAAATTTTGCTCGAAAATGATTTATTCATCATTGTTCTTAAATTCTATGAGATAGGAACATGAAACTTTCACTAAAATGATCTTAAAAGGTGGTTTTATAACCTTACCTTATAATATGAGCGCCCTGTATCTCGGTAATGGAAGCAGGTTGTTTAGTATTTGAGCAGTGAATGGTACGCCTTGAAGCATGAAACTTTCACTAAAATGATCTTAAAAGATGGTTTTTATAACCTTACCTTATAATATGAGCACCCGGTATCTCGTCAAAGGAAGCAGGTGATTCAGAATTAGAGCAGTGTAAGGAAGGCCTTGAAGCATTCGTGTAACCCAACGGTGCCCCACATTCATCGCTCCAATATTGTGTATCTTTTCTTTTGNCGTCTCAGGGGGTGACCACAGTGTTCTGCCTTAATTCGTGACGTTTTTCTAAGAACTGGGTGCTATATACTGTGCGAAATCAATGGATCATGCAATAATAAATTTCTGGACATCCCTCTTCTAAGAATTCCAATTGAGTGTGTTAGTGTGGCCAGCTCAGGGCAATATGATATTATAAACACAGCACATATCACGTCTCTGCTGTTTATAAGTTCATAAGAAAGAAAACAGGCCTTTCATAACAGTAGAACGGAGAAACCTCTCCCAAGAGCAACAGGAACTTTGCTGCAAGACAGGCATATGTAACGATGATTTAGCGCAGCTAAACTCGTGGATTATTATACTCTGAACTACTGACAACAGGCCAGCGAAAAATCTAACAATCTATGGCAAAACCATCAATTATTATGGGCGTTATAACATAGGTGTGCAGCTGGACGAAACATACGCGTCGAACCCCCCCAGACGATTTAAACACCTGACGAAACATACACGTCAAACCACGCTGAACGGTTAACAAGACTGGATGCAACCTTATGAAACTACTACAGCTTGTAGAGACATCTATAGGGCAGGTTCTGACAGCATGCAGCTGATGACAGGAAAAGCGCGATTTGAACCACAGTGTAAGAATCATAGCTGCCCAGCCAGAAAATTGCACCAGAGAGTTTTGTGGTCAGCAGGAGTGAAACTGAGGGAGACTCATAGAAGAATGATTCCTCAGTATGGCCGTAGCTGTATGAGTGAAAGGGAAACGTACCAGTGGGTAGAAAGATCTCGAGAAGCCTGAACATCTGTCAGGTCGCTCATGCACATCCATCAGTGATGTGAACGTTGTTCACATGGACACACTTGTTGGTGAGAATAGACGGATTTCTGTGGACACTGTTGCTACTATGTGGAACATTAGTGTTGGATCTGCACATGGCATCAACCATGAGACTCTCAAATATTGCTGTGTTCCAGGTGGGTGCTGAGTCAGTTGACCAATGAATACCAGTTGAAGCATGTGCCGAGTTGCAGAGCTTTCTTGACATGTTACCATGCTGAGGGTGAAGAGTTTCTTGAACACATTGTCATGGGGTGCTGCACCCACTATTTCAAAAGATATGGCAAGGAGAGAAAGTTCCAAAGGAATGGAAAGAAGGTATAATTGTTAAAGTACCGAGGAAAGGAGATATTACAAGATAGCAATAATTTGAGGGGCATCACACTTTTAAGCGTGCCAAGTAAAATACTTTCAAGAATTATCTTGAATAGAGTAAAAAAATATAGTGGAACTGAGACTTTGAAAGGAACAAGCAGACTTTCAGGAGCAACACAGCTGTGTTGACTTGATAAATACTTTAAGAATCAATTTAGAGCAAAGTACCGAGTGGCAGAACACATTATACTTGACAGTTATTGATTTCAAAAAGGCCTTTCGCTCATTAAATAGACGAGTTATTTGGGAGGTCTTAGAAAAATATGGTATCACAGCTAGGATCTTGAAACAGATAAAAAGACATGTATGAGGGCTTTAAATGCGAAATCTTGCATGTAGCAAACTTACAGCATACATAAAAATAACCACAGGAGTAAGCCAAGGATGCATTCTATCCCCTACTATATTTCTGCTCATGTTGGATGATGTGACGAGGAAAACAACTAGTATGAGGCAGAAGGGGATCCAGTGGGGCATGATGGACAGACTTGAAGATCTAGGCTTCATAAATGATATTATATTTAAGCATCCTGTTGCGCTCTACACGATAAATGATACAAGCTCCGTCCCAAGTGCAAACAATATATATTATATGTCTTTGATCTTGTTCTTTCTACACTACATGTTTCGGCCTCTATCGGCCATCATCAGGTGTATACTCTTAACGTTGCTGCCACACTGAACCCAGTCTAAAATTTAACATTTAAAAACACAATGTCACTTTCATAAATGATATCTGTTGGCCCAGAGGTTCCAGGATATGGAAGAAAAACTAACAAATGTGCAAGAAGAAGCAAAGAGAGCCAGGTTAGATATTAATGTAAATAAGACTAAAGAAATGAGGATAAACAATAAATGACAAAGGAGGCTAACACTTTATAAAGAAGAAGCTGAGCAAGTAGAGACCTCCTCTTATTTGGGAAGTACTGTAACCTAGGAAGGNATAAATGATATCTGTTGGCCCAGAGGTTCCAGGATGTGGAAGAAAAACTAACAAATGTGCAAGAAGAAGCAAAGAGAGCCAGGTTAGATATTAATGTAAATAAGACTAAAGAAATGAGGATAAACAATAAATGACAAAGGAGGCTAACACTTTATAAAGAAGAAGCTGAGCAAGTAGAGACCTCCTCTTATTTGGGAAGTACTGTAACCTAGGAAGGGGGCACAGATGAAGGTGTTAAAAATCGAATATAAAAGGTAACCGGGTCCTTTATCTGATTATATCCAATCTAGAGAAATAAATATATTTCCAAGAAGACTAAAGCTTGCATCTTCAATACGAACGTGAAGTCAGTACTCCTTTATGCTTGTGAGACATCGAGGGTTACAAAGCAGATCGCTGACATGCTCCATAGTTTTATTAATAGATGTTTATGCTGAATCATAAACATAAGATGGCCAGAAACTATCTCAAATGAAGACCTCTGGACAGTCAGAAATCAACAGCCAATTGATGTTCAGATGAAGAAAAGAAAATGGAATTGAGTCAGTCATACTTTGAGGAATCCTACTGGAGCCATTGAAAAGACTACACTGGACTGGAACCCCCGGGGTTCTCGTAGATGTGTTGTCCCAGGAAAACTTGGAGGAAGACCAGCAGCTGAGGCTGATGTGTCCCATTTAATTTCAGTTCCACCCAGTTTTCCCAGAACTCCCTAATGGCATATTCTACAGCAAAGCTGAAAATAATGGCAACAAAACATCTCCATGTTTTAGACCATTCTGGATAAGAAACTTATCAGACAAATGTTTATCTATATGGACTGTACTGTAGGGTTCATTTAAACACACTTTAATCAGCCAAACTATTTTCATGGGTACCTAAAACTCAATGTGAATTTTGTACACTACTTCCCTCCTAAGTGAATGATTTGCTTTTTGAAGTCTATGAGTAGTTGATGTACTGTCTCATTGTACTCCCATTTTTTCTCCAATATCTGACAAATACAAAAACTTTGATCAGTATTTGATCCATTATGTCAAAATCCACGTTAATGATCCCCAGTAATTTCGTCTGCCAGTGGACTTAACTTTGAAAGAAGGATATTGGATAAAATTTTGTTTGAAGTTGGTAACATTGATAACCCACGATAATTACTACAGTCAGTTTTATCGCCCTTCTTGTGGACTAGTACAATAATAGACTCATTCCATGGATCAGGAAATTTTTCCTTATTCCAAATAGAGTTAATTAACTTATTGATCTTAACATGTAATATTTCACCTCCTGCCTGAATAAGTTCTGCCAAAATTTGATCACTACCTGGCGATTTATACCTTTTCAATTTTGCAATAGAATTAAACCTCAAAAGGGCTAGGATCAGGTACTAATGGCACAGCTGTATGTATTTCTATCTGCCTAACATCACTGACCTAATGTACATTCAGTAACTGAGGGAAGTAGTTCTTCCACCTATTCAGAATGTTGCGGGAATCTGCAAGCAGACCACCATTATCATTCTTCACTTACTTACCTCTAAGTTGTTAACCCCACTTAAATTCATTTATTCCTCTATACAGGTCCCCAGTGATCCTGTTCTTACTGTTCATTACAGGCTCATGAATTTTATCTCTCAGATGTTCCCTCCCTGAAGAATCTCCACTGTTGAAATCCATTACCAGGAAACAAGTAATGAAAACTGAGACAGCTTTGTATGTGCTGTAGTTACAGTGATATTTGGAGTGTATAATTGAGTGAGACTGTTATAGTTACCATATTAAAATCAATTGCCAGGAGATGGCAAGTGGGGTCTGTTGTAGACTGAGGACACTAGCCTGTGTGTGACAGTCATCTGTAAAGTATAGTTATGAGTTCTGAGTGCATAAGTTGTCAGGAAGTCCAGTATCCAGTCTAAGAGCCCCTTGAAAGTCACTCTAACACATGACAATATAGAATCTCTGCATTGTTTGTTTACTCACTGCCAGTGTCTCCCAAACTTTTGCCACCACCAGATAGTGGTCAGTATCACAGTCTGTTCCCCTGAACAATTAGACATCAAGAATGCTTGAGTGCTGTCTCCTGTCTATCAAAATATGGTCAATTTGATTGTGAGTCTTTCTGTCAGTAGATGTCCAAATAAATTTATGACTGTTATGATGTTGGAACATTGTACTTTTGACAATCAGATTTTTGAATGTGGCAAAGTTTACTTCTTATGACTCCATTATCATTACTAATTTCATGCAAACTCTTATTCCCAAATGTTGGCTTGAAAACATATTCCATTCCTACTTTGACACTGAAATCGCCTAACAAAATTTTCATATGGCATTGAAGGAATTTATCGAATACATGTTCTAGTTCCTCATATAAGCTGTCCTTCATATCATCAGTTTTATCCTCTTTTGGGTCATGAACATTCAGAACAATGATATCACACCAGTCACCTCTTAGTATTATGTATGGCACCCTATCACCAGCAAACTCCACCCTCTTAACTTATGATGTATAAAAAAAATGTAAGTTTTGACATCTGTCTTAAAAACATTTCAAGTAGCCTACATACTCATTATTATTGAGACCATGTTTAAAAAATAAACTTATTTTGTAATATTTGAGGCTTTCACGGCGGTGACTATGAAGAAAGCAGTCTTCTGGGATTTGGCGCCGTGTATATGTGGTGTTAACCGACGTNTTATTTTGGTTTGTGTTCCTGTTTTGAACTGTTCTTTTATTATATCTTGCTAATCATGGCAGTGTGATCATCAAGCCCCAATGTGCACAAAAAGAAGCAATTGTTGAAATAATCATAAATCCCAAATTAGTGAAGTTTCATCTGTGTTTATAACCACTCAAAGCAGAATTCTTCTTGAGAAAGTGGGATAGTCTTCTAGCTGGTCCAAAAATTTTGACCTTTTATGGAACCCAAATGCTGTTTATTGAGTTCACATCATACTACAATTCCCTATCCAGAACCAGCTGAATTTAGACTGCAGCTGGTTAAGTGTCCCAACTGGTCTCTTTTCTTGAGGTTTTCGTACTACATTTATGTGTTCGTTATTCATGCCCCCCTGTGTTGCACGTGCCTTGCCTATTTCTCATACGTGATCTGATCGCTGTAATATTTAACAAAGAGTTTGAATTATGAAGCTCCTCATTATGTACTTCTGTTCATCTTCGTATAGTTTATATGAGTATAAACTTGAAACATTATTAATTGCAAGTAAATGTTTCTTAAAAATGGACGTTGTCCATTGTTATTTTTTATCTAAAACAACGTTTTGGAGACTGGATTTTTCCTCTGTGCTCTGGCAAAGAACCTGCTCATTTGGGCCCAATCAATAGTCAGTACTATAATCAATAATTGTCACAAATTTTTAAATATTTTAACTGCAGATTGTAGTATGTACTTCAGTTGGTGTTATTTCTCTCTGCAGCTTTTCCAGTGAATTTTACTTTTGAAAAGCAAGAGACACTACAAACAAGATGCTTTGAAGATTATACAACTGAATCTGATTTAGAGCAAATATGTGTGACATTAATTTTTGCGACCTTCCTTTCATTGCTGTATCTTCTTTTTAAGTGGAAGAGCAGGCAGGATGTGTGCATTTGTATCCACTGCAAATTGAAATGAAGAGGAACTGCTTTACCTTTTCTGGGACTGATGTTATTTGTTTTTTTGCTCAAAGATTTTAGACAATTTCAGATCTGAGTGATAATGTTTAGACACCATATGTTTCAAAATGTTCTTGTACCATGCTATTATAAAGTGCTTATGTTTTAGTCTTTATGTCCTTCAGTAGTGCATAAACATGTCTCCAAGCTATTTTTATTTTCAAAACAAATAAAACTAAGTCTTTATTACAGGTACATCTTTTATTGAGTGATTTTAATTATTTCTTTTCTATCAGGCAAGCAGAGAAATGTTGCTCTGATACATTTATAGGGTGTCAAATTGGAGGCCATCAAGAAATAAGAGATCATGAGAAAACTTGCTGTTTACTGATGTACAAATTGTGGTCAAGATTCTTTCCAAGTTCACAGCATTCTTTAATATAGTGAGATTTCTTTCAAGTGCGTACTCAGTTGGTATAGTTCGCTTGCGGACTAAAGCCATGGTGTTTTGTTTTGCATACTCTGGCAGCAAATTTGAATGCTCACCCTGTGATGTTGGACTGACCCATAATAAATAACTTCACTTCATGGAAGTGCTCTCTAGAAAACTGTAGAATTCAGATTGAGCCCCTCTTGTAATTGGCAGACATCAGTAATGTATTTAACCTCCTGCTAAGCGTTTTGAACAGTGTGATAGGTGTTCTGTAAGAATTAACATTTCAGCATGATGACACTCCCAAATAAATGAGAAAGACATGCATGCTTTCTTGAATCAGACATTTCCTGATCAGTGGAATGAAAGAGGACTACCCAGATCACTGGGGCCCACCCCACTAAAGTAAAAGTAAAGTTGTCCCTGTATTTAATTAAGTTCTATGCCATGAACATGCATGGAAGAGACCATTTGTGGAGAACAATGTACAACACTGAGTAAGAGGAGAGAATGCTAATTTTGCAGTAATTGAGGTAGTTCATTAGAAATGCATTCACACAAATCACTTCTAACCTGCTGGAAAACACATGGTGGGAATTTAGATATTATTTTGATACCTGCCAGTCAACAAGAGGTGCACCGAGTTCATTGACAGATGATTTTAAATATAGAATAGCCTCCTTGAAGTTTCTTTTATTTCTTGATATCTCTGTCCCAAATACCCATATTCATAGACTTGGTTAAGGAATAAGACTTATGAGACATTCATAATTTGTCAGTAACTTAGCGTTTTTATGCTAATGATTATCACCTGAAGTTGTATCTCCCTATAACAGAATTACCATAGCATCTATGTAACTAGCACCATCTCTAAAAAATTGCCATGTATTGTAATTTTCTTCATGAAAGTAAAAATATTTCTGAGAGAATCCACTGGTTTTTCTTTTGAAAATTATGATAATTCATTAATTATATGACTAAGAATATGAATTTTGATCGATCACTTAAGTGTACTTATCTTCTGTTTGAAGCAGTCTTCTGTGTGTTTGAAATCTCAACATATGACATCAGATACAAGGACACTAGTGTCATTATACTTGCTTTTAGGTTGTCTGTTGATGACAGTCATTTGCTGATTGCAAAGGTCTTCACAGTAAATAGCTTTCAGAAGTGTGGAAAATGAGAGGATGCTGTAGGGCAGGATTTACTGGACTTTTGAAGCAATCAGTTATTTTTTGTAGATAAGTTCATCATGTTTTGTTTCAGCAAAGAGGAGGTGTGACAGTGACATGGTATCAAATATTTGAACACTTATTGCCAGGTAACAGATTTCTAGGTAAAAAATAATATTATTTTTGCAGCTGTCTAAACTCATGAAAATCAGTGTAATGTTCAAGTTATGATAGTTATTGCTTATACAGAGACTCTGGTGTCACTTAAAAACACATATTTCCACAGATTTTATGTAAATGAATATTTTGGGATGTTGAGTAATGTATGTCCTAGGGAATGGATAAACGAATATTTTGCACATCTGTGCAGCCTGTTATCGGAAAATCAAGATAAGTGACACATTGTTGCCTCATGATTAGAGTGTTCTGTCTCCATTTTTATGTGAAACTGAGATAATACCCTTTTCTTAATTGTCATATTGTGTTGTACTGCCACCAAATATTTCCATAGTTTTGCGTTACCTTCAGGTATGAGATTTCAGAATGTGTTTTGCTCTAAGTCACATTTAAAGTGCAGATGATTCCCTAACTTCAAATACTGTTATTGAAAATTGGCATTGATGGACATACTACATTCCAATACTCAGGTGATGTCATGTTGCCTGGTGAGACCTTTCTTTATTTTGATGGGGGTGGGAGATCAGAAATTTATGTGTGAAACGAGCATAAATTAGACTTGTAGACAGATGGGGATTCGCTCATCTCATTGGTGACCATAGATGAAACTACTGATGCAAGTGGAAGGAAGAATGCAAACATTGTTATTGGGGTCTTTAGAAAGGCAAAAAGGGAAATCACTTCCTCTGCCATGCCAGGAAATGTCTGCAGTGAATCATACGATAGCATATGTTTTCAATGAAATTGTGTAGACTCTGTAGACAGATGGAATTTGACATGTTGCTAGTAACAGGTACCTTACTGTACATGATAAAAGCAGCAGGACTTTCATTGAGCTGCTCCAAACCAATACATGTTACATGGTTTGTGCATGCTTTGCTCAGAGTCTGTGAAATGACTCATGTGCTTTGTCCAAGTGTGGTCATGGGATGATCTTTCAGAAATTGCCAGTTGCAATGGAGCTCTTTAAAAAGAAAGCCCCCACCTCCAGTAATTATACATTGGAGAACTGGGCTGGATGTCATTGTATGTTGATCAGAAAAGCTGGAAATAATTTGTTCTGTGCTAAATGAATTGAGGGTGCTGATAACTGAAGTTGCCAGCATTCTTGCTAATTTCAGTTTTTTGTTGCAGTCTATAACAAAGTTGGGAAAGACCACAAATTTGTTGTCATAAACAATAAAGGAAATCGATGACATTCAAGATAAACTTAACAAATCCAATGGCTCAGAAGCTGATGCAGTAAAACAAAAATTCTTCTCATATTTCGATGAGAATAAAGGGTTTAAAATAATGTGCAAGATTTCATATGTATTAGAGAGGAAGACATGATTGATTTTGAAGACTTGGAAGACTTGAGTGTTAGTGAGAGAATGTGTCAGTGTGCAAGCCTGGCATCATGTGATCTGTAGTATACATTTTCTCAGTACAAATCCCTCTTCCATGATAACCAATATAGACTTGCAATGCGCAACTTAAAGTTGACTTTCATGGTTCACTGCAACAGTGGTTCGCTTTATTTAAAATACTGACGGCTTGTGCAGCATGCTTTGTATAATCATGGATGCTTTTATACAAAATATTTTTATCTGTTGATAACATATTTTTTTACTTTCTAATTATTTAGTACCTAAAATCTGTTCACTCTTATTGCATAGAATCAGATCTATCTTTGGATCTTTATCATGTAGAAAGATATATCATGCATCCTATAAAAATATGCTTCCACAGCACATGTGTAATGTTTGGCATATCATTAACAATTTTGAAGATAACTGTGTTAAATTAAGAATTTAAGTACAAGTGTGCTTGAATTTCTGGGCATGATAAAAATATCATAGAACTATAACAAATATAATTTTGTTCTTAGTAAGGTTTGAAGGCCTCACAGTGGTATTAAAATTTTGGTGTTCTGGGTTTTGGTTCCACATTATATGGTAGATAGGTACTAACTTTTAAAATGGATGTACTGTCTATATTTTCATGGTTGGCCTTAAAAACTGAAGTAGAATGTTGCTCCAATATGTTAGTAACTATCTACTAAAGCAGACTGTAATCTTAATGTTGCTGTATATTACATAATTTGTCAGCTTCGTGTGAATATGGAACAATATGGATTATCTACATGTGGAACTGTATATTTTTCTCACTCTTGAGTCACAAAAACAATAATATACCTCATATTACATTGCATGCTCAGATATTTTGCATCATGGCTGTCAGCGACAAACATTTTATATCCTAAGAGTAGCTGTAAGTTAACCTCATGTAATTCACTGTTAAATATTTTAAATTCTGAATATACCCACAAGAAAAGCAAGCTGTAAGATTATCATTTGTGTTTACATTTTAATTTTGCACATTTATTTTATTTATAGAGAAGAACCAATTGAAATCAATGGGAACATGAAAATGTTAAGATAGGAATACAATTATATAGGCTGTCTAATCTCAGAGTAAATCATTGCTTACTAAAAAGAAAAAGTATAGAACTCAAAAAGGGGTTATTTGGATGAAAGTTTCATAAGTTTCTTGTTTAACTTATCCATGTTTAAGCAATAATACCTGTTCTAGAACAAGCAGTGACCAGTGCCTCACTAACTAAGGATATATCTGGAGAAAGAATGTTCTTAATTGAGTCTGCAAGTTACGTTAAAAAGAGATTTTATGCCCCAGAAATCATGATATTGACATTTCAGTCAAGTTCTTAATAGTCTTAACCTACAAATTAAGTATGATATTATTAGCTACACTTTCTGTAGTCTGTTAAAGTGAAGAAAAACATTTCCTGGTGGAATTTGAAGTCACGTATAATATATACCTATTTCATAGTGCAGCAGTCCCTCATGAACTTCAGATTTGTCAGCTGCAGATTCAAAGTAGCTCATTCATGATTTGTATCCAGTTTTTTTCCAGCAGTGGTATTTATTTTATGTATCTGTCATTTTTGTGTACACAGAAAAAATTTCTGGTTTTTGCACCAAGCGATTGCACATCCCGAAGGTAGTCTTCAATGGCATATAAAACCAGTTTTGTGGTTTCCAGAAATTTTGATTTGTACTTTTTATTTCAGTTTTTTATACTTGTGTTTTATGTCTAATTATATGGCATATTTTTTATTAATGAAGAAACAGGAAACTTAGTTGTCTGTTGAACATAAGTGTCAGTAACCACAGTTCCCCAATTTCCCATAAGACTTTGATATTAGAAACCATGGTTTTGCTAACTGCAATGTTAAGTACTACCTGCAGTCGGCAACAGATGGCTGTATTATTTAGGTGACTAATGATGTTACACAGAGTATGCCACAGAAACATTTTATTTCTGAACATACTTGAAATGAAGTATGTCTTACAATTTTCATGGAGGTCTGATTTCAAGCAGTTTTATATATATATATATATATAGTCATCATAATATGTACGTACAAAGCGTCCACTGGGGTTGCTTCCACATGAAGTGTGTATGCTGATGCTGGAAGGAATAAAATGCGTTTCATCTAGGAAAAGCATTTAAGAATTGTCTTCATACCAGATTTAAGTAAAGCATTTGGGAGATGTGTCTGACCTTTCATGATCATATTGGCACATGTCAGTGTGTAGACACTGTATCAGATATCAAGCAAAACTCATAGATACATTGTAATTAAAATCTAATGTTCAGCTCCATAGTTTCATTATCATCCAGAACAATACCAAAGAGAGATCTGAGGTTCTTATGACAGTGATTATAAAGATAATGTTTTCTGGGATGTGATATCATTTAGTCTTGTAGCTGTTTACCAGTGTTTCAGAGGAACATGCAGAAGAATACTTTTCTATCCTGAAGATGGAAATAGCCAGTTCCTCTGAAATATCAGAAAACATCTGCCAGACTCCAGACTACCAGACTATACAGCTGCACATTTGAAAATACAGTACTCATAATACTAAAGGGGTAATTAATCATGAGAATGCTCAGAAAGAAAGTTTCTTAACCAGTTAAGCGTATTTTATTCTGTGTTCTTATCTCTCCCACAGTGGGACATTAGAATTCTCCAGACATTTAAATTTGTTACTGCAGCGTTTAATTTTATAATTGTTGCTCCTCAACCATGTTTCACTGTAAAATTATGAATCAAAAAGTCTGAAAGACCAATTATCAGAGTTCATATATCTGTATTTTAATTTATATGGCTGTTACATTAACCTTTAAGTGACGGCCCTTTAAATTCCATTAATGGCAGTGGGACGGATTTGATTTAAATACCCTCAATTTTAAAGCAATAAAAACTGTAATCATTTCCTAAAATTGCTGTGATTTCTACAATTTTTGTGATAAACGAACCAAATGCTGTTTTTTTTTCTAGAAAGAATATAGAATCAGATATTGTAATTTACAGACTTTATAAAATGTGTAAAAATTTTTAGACTGATTCCAAGTATAAAATTCCCAAATTTGTCATCTGTCTACAAGAAATCATACAGTTCTTGGAACTAAGAATGCTGTATGTAGATGTGGCAACACAGCGGATGGTTATGTAGACATGTTTAGTCTTGCATGTCTCAAAGCTTATATACGTACCTTCTTTCGGTATGCAG